TCTCTTAGTGTGAAGAAACTTGCAGGATATAAATCTTTCCTTCCAGCTTAGAATATCCCAGCAGATGTTTTCAATATTGTAATTCTGCAGTTTTTGATTCAGAGTATCAATAAGGATTTTACAGTCCCCTTTAAAACTGACGTGAGTTATACCCTGTGACCAAATGTGTTGCATTGATAACAACATTGCCTTTGCTTCAGCTTCAAATGGAGTTGTAACTGGTCCCAAGTAAGCTGATCCCCAGAAATGTGGAAATCCTCTGTGGTCTCTAACAATCCAACCAGCTGAAGTTCGATTCTGTTCTGTATTCAGACTTGCATCAAAGTTACACTTCAGAAAATTAACATTTGGAGGTCTCCATTTTTCATGTTTACGGCTAAAGGAAGTGGTATGATGATCCTGATCAATACTATTTCAACAGCTTTTAACCATTGAGACACATCTAACTCTGCTTCATGGGCCACCCTTTCCGGATAGACTCGAAAATTCTTGAAAATCACGTTGCATCTCGACTTCCAAATCCTCCATAAAACCCAGATAGGTAGTAGCTTTTGAAACTCAGATATTCCATCCTGAGACTGAAATGTAATGATGCTTTTGATGACATCATCAATATCATCATTGGCAGAGACAAAAGGAAGCCACAATGATCGTGATATTCTCCATATCATTAATGAAATTGGGCAGGTACAGAATGTATGGATTACAGTTTCCGGAGCCGAGCAGCATCTCTGACATGTATTATCGAATTGAATCCCTCTAGTGTTTAAACGAGTTGCAACGCCAATGGCTTTTGACACTTAACGCCAAAGAAAATGTTTTAACTTCGGCATTATTGACATTCTCCAAATGTGGCCTTTTAGTACGGGATCACCATGAGGGATGACAATATCTGGATTAGCAGATCGAGATGCATTGAAGGCCAACCAATATCCACTCTTAACCGAGTATTCTCCAGAAGCATTTAGGGCCCATACCACTTTATCTTGTTTAGATACTTGGGGTAGATAGATATTCCTGATTCGTTCTTGATCTTCTTCTTCTACTAGGTCGTTTATTTGTTCTAAATCCCAATGACGAGAATTGTTATCATGAGAGATAAGATCACTGACTTTTAATTCAGGATTATTGACTCTGAATTCTGCAGGTCGGGGGGATGGAGTTGGAATCCAGTTGTCTACTTGAGCACGGATATTTGATCCATCTCCTATTATATGAAGACTACCTTTTTTTATAAGTTCCACCCCATGAAGTATAGAACTCCAGCCATATGACTGATTTGCTCTTGTTTTTGCATCCAATATGGAAGAGTCCTTATAATATCGAGCTTTCATAATCTTAGCAAAAAGTGACTTAGGGTAGCGAAGCAATCTCCAAGCTTGTTTTGCAAGAAGAGCATCATTGAATAAAGATAGATCTTTAAAACCAATTCCACCCTGCTTTTTGGAAAATTGTAGTCTCTTCCAAGCAATCCAAGGGATTCCTCTGTTTTGTTCACTTTTCTCCCACCAAAATCTCATCAGAATTCTGCTTATTTCATCTGTAATATTCATAGGAAGTTTGAAACATGACATTGAGAAAACAGGCATTGCAAGTCCAACAGATTTGATCATGATTTCTTTTCCTGCTGGCGATAAGAATTTAGCTTTCCAACTAGAAGTTCGCTGTCAAACTCTGTCAATAATATATGCAAACATTTCCTTTTTCTTGCGACCAAACTGCTCAGGTAAGCCCAGATATTTACCACCCCCTCCATGTTTATCTATTCCAAAATTTGTTTTAACCTCCCTTGCAAGTCACCAGGAATTCTAGAACCAAAAGTAATCGTCGACTTTGAGGGGTTTATTTGTTGCCCAGACCATTGTTCATACGTTGAGAATATGTCTTGCAGAGTTTTACAGTTTTTGTTGTTTGCTTGACAAAAGAACAGGGAGTCATCCGCAAAAAGAAGATGAGTAATGCTCGGTACTCCATTTCCTATCTTTATGCCTCTGATTTTGCCACTTTGTTGGGATCTCTCAATCAGATGACTTAGAACATCTGCACAGAGAATGTATAAATAAGGAGATAATGGGTCTCCTTGTCTTAATCCCCTTTCTGGTATGATCCTTCCTTGTGGTTTGCCGTTTATCAGAACTGAATATTCCACTGTTTTGACCGCCTCCATTATCCAAATGATCCAACGCTCATCAAATCCATAAGCTTCAAGTGTTTTTTCTAGAAAATTCCATTCAATGCGATCATATGCTTTGGAGATATCAGTTTTGATTGCCATGTCTGCTTGAGAGACTCGTTTCCTTGATTTTAGTGAGTGCATAAGTTCATGAGCGATCATTATGTTGTCATTAATCATCCTCCCAGGTATGAAGGCTGCTTGTGCTTCGGAAACAATGTCACTTAAGTAAACGTTAAGGCGCCCTACCAGAATTTTAGATATGATTTTATACATAACATTACAAAGACCTATTGGACGATAGTCTGACAAAGTTTGAGGTTTCTTAATCTTCGGGATCATACAAATGTTAGTATGATTGATGTTTGATTTCATTTTCCCCGATTCAAAAAAGTCATTGACCTCTTGAATAACATCTTTCCCTACTATATCCCAACAAGACTGGTAAAAACGAGCTGTTAGACCATCAGGACCAGGAGATTTGTCTGCTCCAATAGATTGAATTGCAGAGACAATTTCTTGTTCCGTTATCCCCTTTGTCAAATCAGCGTTCATTTCTGTTGTGACTTTCTTTTGGAAGTTTGAGAATATGTTAGTTCTGCAAGTATTTGGCCTGCTTTTATACACCTTGGTGAAGAATTCTTCTGCATGTTTTCCAACTTCAAAGTCCCCTCTATAAGATTTGCCTTGATCATCATTGATACTGAGGATTTTATTTTTTGCAAACCTTGTTTTGGTGCAGGCCTGGAAAAATTTAGTGTTACGATCTCCTTGGATCAGCCAAGTATTTCTGCTTTTTATTTTCCAAAAAGTTTCTTCATCATGATATGCTTGAGCAAGATCTTTTTGGATTTGGACAATCGTTTCATAAGAAGTGTTAGAGCTAGAAGTGGCAAATTCTAGTTCGATTTCTAGTTCCTCAATTCTTTTGGCTGAGTTAAGTTTTGAATTTCTGCGACAGAAAGCCATTGATTTTCTGCATTCTCTTATTCTGTCTGAGATCCTTGGATTTGGAATTCTATTGCGACAGTTCCAACCTTTTTGCACATATTCCTTGAAACCACAAACTTGTAGTAAACCCTTGTCAAACCTAAAAGTTCGTTTCTGTGTATATTCTGTAGATGTTATGGTAGCAACTATTGGGCGATGATCAGAACCATACAAGCCCATATACTGAGCTTCTGAAGCTGGGAACTCAGCCAACATCTCCGAATTCACAAGAACCCTATCTAAACAACATTTCACCGTGTGAGTATGTCTCTTCCCAATCCAGGAAAAACGATTGCCTTTGCTACGAAGATCGCTTAAATCACAGTTGCTATACAGTTTTCTAAAGTCTTGAAAACTTTTCTCATCTCGCTGTGGACCACCTTCCTTTTCCTCATTGGAAGTGATTTCATTAAAATCGCCTATAAGCATCCAAGGACCAGCTCTTGAATTATTAATGGTTTGTAATCTTTCCCATAACTCATGTCTATATTTTTTGTTTGGGTGGCCATAGACACAAGAAAGATAGTAGAAAATACCATTAACATTCACACCAACATCAATAAGTCTTGCATCAGCTACATATTTAGTTATATGTACATCATTATTCCATAATAATGCCAAGCCTCCACTCCTCCCTAATGGAGGAACGGTAATTATGTTATCAAATCCTAAAAACACACATAAATCCCTTAATACATCACACCTATGTAGAGTTTCAACTAGAAATAAGACATCAGGCTTAAATTTTTTACAAAGATCCACAAGCCTCTTCTCAGTCGGCGATCCCTCAGGTCCGAGACCCCGACAGTTCCAGGAGACGACTCTCATGGGGGAAACAGTAGGGCTACCGGGCCCCCCGCGCCTCTGTCGGTCGGAGAAGATGCAGAGCATGAACCCTACGATTCCTCAAAGCTAAAACGCTGATGCACAGGACTCAGGTACGTCCTGTACAGACTTGGCTGAAGATTGTCGTCTTGATTCGCACTGATATGAACCCGTTTACGCTTGTGGTATCCTCCCGGAGATTCCTCTTCTCGCGTGTAAGCCGCAAAGACTTCCATAAAGTCATCCTCCTTGAACTTTCCTTTAGCCATCTTTGCTTGAAGATAACGAACTGTTTCCACAGTTAGATCATTATCATTTAGACGCGGTTGTGGAATGTATTTGAAGTCGTTATTGAAACCAGCAGACATATGTTCCATTGGAAGATCCTCAATAGCATGATCCCTCTCCATCTCTCGTTGATCCTCTCTGTCTCCATTGTCTTCATTACCCAGATCATTATCATCATTATCATCATTGTCTTCATCATCAAAATCGTTGAGAGGGCATTCAATGATTTTCATTTGATTTAAGTCGATATTTATTGTGGAATCAAATTTTTTGACTTATAAGTTAGTTTGCTTGTAAAAATAGACTTCTCTAGCAGTCTATGTATGAAGTCAGAATTAATTGTAATCCAGTCTAATTCAGCCAAACCAGGTTAAATTGTGATGTAAGCCACTGTTTGGTTGGACTTTTGGCAAGTCCTTATGTCCTATAGAGACTCCTTTAGAAAAGTCCTAAACTTGGATTGATAGATTCCGTAATACTTTTTTCCAAGTCATTTTTTTTGGTAACAATTTGCAAATTATTACTGCGTAAATGAGTTGCCGGCAACAAGATTTAACTGTTTATTGATTACGAATTTTTTAGATAAATTATTAAAAATGACAAAAGTGGAAAACATTTTTTAATGTGTGTGTTTACAATGAACCCTGCAAAATATTTCCAATAAGACAATGCACACAAACAAAATACCATTCTCTCTTTCTCTCTCTCTTCCCATCCTTCGTCTTCCTCCACATCTCTCTCTCTCTTCTCCCAATAAATAACACAATTTCCCAGATTCAAAGTTCTCTCTTTTCAACGTCTTCAAAGGGATTTAAGAATCTAAGCAATCATCTCTTATCTTGCTTTGCTCTTTTTCTTCTTCTGGAAGATCTAGAATTTACACTAATAAATAAACTTGGAAGAAAAGCAAAAGAAGAAACACAAAAAAAAAACATCAATCTTAACTTTCTCTCTCTCTTTCACTCACTTTAAAGTCTCCTCAGGTTGTAAGTTACCGTGTCAAGAGAATCAGCACCAAGATCAACAAATTTGGTCCCAGCCGAAACTGTCTCGCCATCTTTAAGTGAGAGTTGGCTTTTGACGGCTTCACACACGTTCTCCACTGTCTCAGGTTTTGCCTGTTTACCAACAAAACCAAAAAGTTTGAATTAATCTTGCCATCTGCAACCAAATTCTTTCAAGTCTATGATAGAGGATAATTACATTGTTCGGAATTATTGAGACTCAAATTACATTCACAAAACAATACATCTAATATCATTCTGCGTAATCACATTTTTAAGATGTAAAAGTATATCTAAGAACGAATCCTCTTTGTTAACATTCAATCAGTCGAAATATAAAACTCGAATGTAAAAGAATCATTTTCACTACAAACAAACGAAAGATTACATATGACCGAAAACAGAACTTAAACAGAAGTAAATAAATAAACTCTATAAGAACTAATCCTATATGTAAACAACATTTTCCTTGTTCCTTTACAAAGTTAGAATTCATGCAAATTCAGATATAAGAAAAATCCAGTTTCCACTAAGACAACCAATCAATTTGATCAGATCGATGAGAGTTAAAGTTCCTGCAGAGCTAAAATACCTTAAAGTTGAGAATACAATAACTAACTTTCCTCATTGCAAAAGTTTCTAGAACCAAAGTCATTTTAATAAACATTTTAGTTGGAAAAGAGCTTAGCCAACGATTCAACAATAATATCTATCATTGAAAAAAATAAAAAAAATAACCTAGATCGAGATCTATAGATTACAGACTGAGACGATGGAAAGAAAAGTAAGAATAATAATCAGATCTAAAGCAGAATGAGATGCTACGCATAAAAAAGAAAAAAAAAAAAGAGATTCGAGATTTCAGGTGAAAGGGAGAAATAGAGAGAGAGACCATTTTTTGAGGATGAGCTTGCAGAGAAGTAGACGCAGCAGCAGAGACGAACAGGAAAGGCAGCGGAGAAAGGCCAGAGAGAGTGGAACACAGCGCCGTTATAGAAAGAGGAATGTTTCATCTTTTTACAAAATTAGGGTTACTTTCTTTATATAATGGCATAAAACATTCGGTTAAATTCTTTTTTTTCGGTTCAATTTTTGGTTAAATTATTTTTTTCGGTTTAGCAGACTTCCATATTGAAGTCTACTAAGTCTAAATCCTAAATAATAAATTTTTTTAATTTAAAAACATAAATTTCCATTTATCAATATGAAAAATAATTTATGTACATTTGGGTTACAATTACGGAATTTATGAATGTAATTTTGATACCAAAATAATTTTTTATAAATTTTAAAATTAAATTTCCAGATTTAATTACTTAGTAGACTTCATTTCGATAAACGAAGTCTACTATTAGACTTCTTTCTCTCTTTAGTAGACTTCGTCAGAGTGTATACGGTAATTAGGACATCCGTTTTTTGTTTACTCATACAGGATTAAATGGTCTTTTCACTACCCCTTTAGGTTATTTCTGCCAAATGTTTTTTTATAGGTCTATTTTTATATTCAAAATCAAGTTTTAGGTTATTTTTAGCAAAAACCCCTTAATATAACAGTCTTATCGAACCTAAAAGACTAGAACAAATTTTGACATGAGTATGACATATTATTGTACACAACATAAATTCTTCTAAGCATCCATAATCTGGTCATTCAGATGAATCATTCACTAAAATGCTTGTCCCAAAATTAATAAAAATCATTTTGTCAAAATTGGTTCCAATCATTTTGTCAAAATTGGTTCCAACAGCCACAAGTAAAGAAATGGTGAAAAGCAATGAATGTACTACGGTGACAGGCTATCTGGTTTCATTTCAACTAATACACAATAATGACAGACTAATTTTAATATGATCTCATTTTAAGAACGATAATACGATACTGTGTGGTTAAGCTATAATCTTTCAATGAAAATTTTGTTATCCATTAATCTAATACCACTGCATGTCATATCCAAGGCATATTTTCAAGGTTAGTGGCTCTACAATCACCAATATCCACACATAGTTATCCACATATCAGTGTATGGAATGTCCAATTCCTATTTGTAATTCATAATTCAGTTTTCACTAGGACACCCTCAAAAAACCTGGGGCAGTTTTCAAGATTAACATAAAAACTGAATCCGATAGACGTGATTCAGTCTAACTAACAATACAATTTTACACATATACCATCCAACTACATTTACGGAAAAGCCTATTCATAATCTACTAAAAGTTTTTAAAAAAATCATTCTGGCAGTCTCATATACTCTCTATTTATAAATGTATTATGCTGATGATCAGGATCTGAAAGCGTAATGGAATGATAACTTAGTTAAACCAAAAATTGATACACTTTTAGCTACCACCAACTTTTAGGTAATATGGTTCTGCAGAATACACCTCATGTTTAGGGAAATTCTAAAATTATGCTTTACCATCATCTCAACCTCATATATTCTCCATTTAGAAATGTGATCTATTGTTAATCAGGGTTTCCACCTTCCAAAACATACAACGAAGACAAACAGGGTGGAACAAGGCTAAAGAGAAGTTTAATCAATGAACAATACCACATTATAACTATCATAAATTTTCATGTGTCATAATCAACAAAGATTTCTAAAAACTATGCTATCTTCGTACTTCTTAATCAGACCAAACATCTTCACTTTATAATAATTATTTCAATTTTAATATACAACTTCAAACATAATGAAATTCTTTTCATATGCAAACCATCAAACCTTTTTGATTTATGGGCCTTTATTTTGTAAACTATATGGATCTCCACCTAATCCAAACCGCGTGGATAGTCTTTTAAAACTCTATAGGCCTGGAACAGAAAAAACTTATCTTTAGAAAATTCACAGTCGGTTTGAAACTACTTTCATAGTTTAACCATCAATGCATGTCCATGGATATAGTTTTGTGGATACATGGACGAAAAGAGGAATAATTGTAACAGAAGTTATTCATCGAATATCAGTTCTAACATTACTTTCCTTGCTCAATAGCTGAGCGGCGTCATTATATATGTCTCCCACACCTGAGCCTCTAGTTGACAAAATATTAGATTATGTTAAAGGTCAAACATCACCATCCCATCATTTTGATTTCAATCTTCCCACTAATAAGCCCTATCCATTAAGACTTTTTTTAAAAAATTTCCAAAACCATCCAAATTTTACTGGCCACATATTTAATAGATTAAATTGGAAAGTAATCCTAAAATTAAATCCAGACCCTTTATTTGTTGTGGTATGAAACTTGAACATGGATCATATCACCTCTATGTCTTTCATAGACATATCCTCGTGGACCTGACCAAAATAAAAAAATACTGGATATGACCAACAGATAAAGAACATGGATAATTTTATGGCCAGAAATTTACTACTTTCATGGATAAGATAAAAATATTTATAAAAAAAAACCACAAATCTAATTTTGATAGCTGTGATGGTCGGAGTTTGTTCACACGCCAGAAATCCAAAATTTTAAAGCAATGAATTTTTACTTTTGTTGGAAAAAGTAAAATTCAATTTGTAGCATTTCTCAATGCTTTTCTACTGCTTTCATCTCCCCCTAAACACACCAAAAGCCATCAATCTATGATCCCATCTGATGCCTTAATCTAGCAAGTATTCTTCAAACAGTTCATATTCCCTCACCAAAAAACTGCTCTGAAACCCTACAAATACACCCTTCACCCCCAAAAATTTCTCCTTCAAGCATCTACGAAAATGGCCACTCCATGTAACATCAACTCCCTCCCTTCAACTTTTGAACAAGATTTTTCTCAAAACGACTTCTTCTTCGTATGCAGATCTTTGTCCAGCAAGAATGTCTTTCAAAACTCTAATGAAGAGGGTTTCTACAAAGCAGTGGATTTAATATCCCTGAAAACGCCATGGGCTTGGTATCAACGTGGGAGGGTAGCTACTTTCTTTGGACGCTACTTGAATTCAGGCAATACAACCGTGTTAGTCCTCAGAGGTGTATATACCTTTTTCTATGAAGAAAATCTATAAGCAGGGATGACTTAAATTAAGGATGCATCAGATGCTGGATGCCTTATGGCTAAATACTGTCACACTATGTGTCGTCTAACAATAGATGACAGCGATGAAGTATTCATCTCCAGCTTTGATCTTTCTCGGACCGATGCAGTGGAGATGAGAATAGCTATGGATCGCAACAACAGGCGTCCATGAGATTTTACCGTTCCGGCCGAGTTAGATGACAAGGTAAATGAGTTGTTTGAAAAATCTTACAAATGTAATTGTATTTGTAGCAAGCTCGAATTTTGGAGGTTTTTTATGTCGAGCAGCTCTGCGATCCCTGCTTCTGGATATTAGAACCGCCTAAGTTCTGGAAAATCATCTCTGGTTTTGCAGTGGAGTGGCTTCATTGATTTTCTTGCTTATTATTTAGCAAAGTTCTCTTTTGTTCAACTTATTTTACCTTTTCAGTTATGTTTTAAACATGTTTTATCTGTTTTAATTTTTTAGTTCTTATGTTAGCTATTTTATAATTCTATCCACCGGTAATCTGGTTGTGTTTGTTTCTTATTGGAATTACTCAAATATGAAATACAAATTCAAAAATCAACACCATATTTACTATTCAGAGAGGAGCAGTTACAATGAACATTTATATACGCGACCATATAGATGGATAAGCTTGGATGTATTAACAAATTCAATGATCTATTAACAAGTAACATGAGTGTAGCCCTATTTTGTACCAGACCGAAACGATTTCCTGCTTCTGGTGACTGGCGCTGGATATACTTTTCCACATTTGAACTATAATTCATTTGTCTCTAATAATGAAGATACCAGCCCTCCGCCGCCTCTCACCGCCTCAAAATTTGGCTACATCGTCACCATTTCCCTCGAGCCCAGAGATGGATTTCTTTAACTAGCAGACCATTTGTTTAATTACCTAATACAAAGTTTCTGGTTGCTCCATATAAATCGTCTCATCAATGTTTTCATTTAGAAAATGATGTATTGACATCCATCTAATCAAGCTCCAAATCGTACTGCACAACAAGAGTCATGATTGTCATACAAGATTTCTTTGATGAAACAGGAGACAATGCTTTTCGTAGTCAACTCCTTCTTTTTTAGTATATACCTCTCCACATTACCACTTGAGTCCAGTTTAGTGTTAAATTTCCATTTGCAACTAATGGGTTTCTTTTCTTTCTGTAATTGGACCAGGTCTCGAATCTTATTGTCTAGCATTAACTGATACTCTTCTTCACTAGTTTTGACCCACTTATATGAATTGGAACTACCCATGGCCTCATGGAAGATCATCTTCCAACTAGGTTTAATTTTCCTTTTGTTCCATAAGAAATATTATGTAATCATCCAGAATACCACTTCTCCTTTCTCTAGTGGATCACAGCAAAGGGACTTGTTCTTGTTGCACCAGATCTTGAGGATTACGAATTTGATCTTCATGTTCAATAAAATATAACTTATTTATTTAGAGAAAATATCAAATTAAGGTTCAAAATTTTCTTTGTTTAACACAACTATACAAATTGGATTAGGAACCCAAACCGATTCTCCCTCGGAGATGATGTTCTTAACTTGATTTCTCCCCTAAAATTTATATCCTCAAAAAATGTAATTGTTCCCGTCTCAAAAATAGTCTTTGATGTGGGCTCATAAAACTTATAGCCCCTAGATCACACAGAATAACTAACAAAGTAACTGCTCATAGTTCTGGAGTTCAGTTTCTTCTCAAATGACCTATAAGGTCTAGCCTCAGCTGGACATCCCCAAATGTGGAAATGCATCAGACTAGACTTTCTTTCCAGTCCAAAGCTCATAAAGTGTCTTAGGAGTTGCTTTAGTTCATATTTATTGACAATGTAAGCTGCAGTTTTTAGTGCCTCTCTTTAGAGTGATTCCGGTAAAGTTGAATGACAATCATACTCCTTACCATATCCTTAAGAGTGTGATTGTGTCTTCCAAATATACCATTAATATT